TACATGAAAACACAATATATCCGTATTTGTGGGATGCAGCTAAAACAGTCTATAGAAGGAAATTTATAGATTTAAATGACTATCTTAGGAAATAAGAAAGGTATAAAATCAAGCCTACATTTTAAGGAAATAATAAATTAAACCGTAAGTATATGGCACAAAGGAAATTATAAAAATAGAGCAGAAATCAACAAAATAGAAAATTTAAACAATCCTGTATAAGGAAATCAAACAATAATACTATCATACCCAAACTCTTTCATAAAACAGAGGAAGTGGGAACACTTCCAGCTCTTATCATGAGACAATTTTAAGCCTGATAGTAAGATCAAACAAGGACAATATAAGGAAAGAAAATTATAGCCAGTATATCTTATGAACATAGATTTTAAAAAATTGAACGAAATATCGTCAAATGAAATCCGGCATTACATAAAAGGATTATATACCATGATTAAGTTGGACTTATCCCAAGAATGGGAGGTTCGCTTAACATAAGAAAATCAGTCAACATATTTCACTACATTCATAGGTCATGAGAGAAAACTCATGTCCATAGGAGAAAAACAGAGACAGAACCTCAACCTCTACTTCACATCATCTGACAGTTTTCACATCTGACAAAAATTGATACCCAAATTATATTAAAAATTCCTGCAACTCAAGAATAAAAAGAGAAACAAGAATAATTTTTACCTTGAAACCCAGTTATACCACTGTTAGATATTTGTCCAAGAGATATAAAACACTAATATGCACAAAAAGTCTTTTACAACAATATTTATGGCAGCTTTATTAATAAATACAGTTATTGTTTCTGGCTAGTAACTAAAAGCAATCATGTCTTTCAATAAGAAAATGGATAAATGAGCTATAATATATTCATTCCTTTGAATACCAAGCAGTACAGAGAAATAAACTACTGATCCATACAACCACCTGAATTAATCTCAAAAGCTATGATGCTGAGTGAAAAAGGTGGGCACCATAATTAAATATTGTGGGATTCCATTGATGTGATATTCTAAAATAGTTAAATCTGTGGTGACAGAAATCAGATCACTATATATAGAGACAGAGTGGCAGTAGGGTAATGGCTGGGAGGGGCACAAAGGAATCTCCTGGGATGGCAGAGTTGTTCCTTGCCTTGATATGCATTCTTCAAAATTGATTGAAAGATACACTTAAGATCTGAGCATTTCGATGAATATAAATTTTACTGCAATTTTTAACAAAATAAATGGCATTGAATAACAACATTATATTTCACCATGTTTTCACAAATATCATAACACGGGTTAGGATATTATAAGAGGCCCAGGAGGCAGTCTAGTGGGTCAGGAAGAGAATGGGGTCCAGCTGGCACATCCGGTGTGAAGACCCATATTGGGCCAGAACAAGGTGGTGATAAAGGAACTTCGGTAACCTCCAGATGAAACCACCGGGGCAAGGAGATTTGAGAGAGAAGTAATTTGATTATCTCTTTTTTTTTCTTTTTTTATTTTATTATGTTATGTTAGTCACCATACATTACATCATTAGTTTTTGATGTAGTGTTCCATGATTCATTGTTTGCGTGTAACACCAAGTGATCCATGCAGCACGTGCCCTCCTTAATACCCATCACCGGTCTAACCCATCCCCCCACCCCACCCCCTCTAGAATCCTCAGTTTGTTTCTCAGAGTCCATCGTCTCTCATGGTTCGTCTCCCCCTCCGATTCCCCCCCTTCATTTTGATTATCTCTTAATAAGCCCCCAATCCAGAATCTTGAAGGATTAATTCAGTTCTAACTAAGGGCAGCACATTTGATAAAATATGCTTTCAGGAACTCTGCCTCCTTTACCCCTCAAATTTCCCTCAGTCACTTGCTGAAATCTAAGTTTCTATAGAATAAAGGGAAATTAATTGTTTTACTTCACAAAATAAAAGGATTGAAATGCAAATGCATAATTGAAATAGTACTTTAGGACACATGAATTTTACTCCTGTGTAATCAGTGGGTGAACGCAAATGATTAAGAACTGGCCCTTCTCATTTCTGATAACATAGAAAGCACAGGAAGAAGAAACAGTCCAATTCAGTACACATTTGCTGAGCATCTACCGTGTGCTAAATCAGTGGTTTCCAAGCTTTTATGACTGTGACCTTTAGTAAGAAATGAAATTTATATCGAAGCTCTGTGTAGCTGTACATATGGATAACTAAAACAGTGTTATAAAATAAAACCTATACTTTCTAAATGAGATGCACTCAGTGTTTTCTATTCTAGTATAGTCTGTCTCATGTTTACAAAAACTCTGGTAAGTGACCCACCAACTCCATTTCATTACCCACTAATAAATTGTGAATGGTGGTTTGAAAAACACAGTGCTATCCTTGCTCCCCAGCATGTGGTCTGTGGACCTGCAACAACAGGAGGTGGGGGCTTGCAAGAAAAGGGCTCAGGCCACACCTCCCACCTGCTGAATCAGAATCTGCATTTTAACCAAACCTCCAGGTACTCCCCGTGCATGGCGACCTGTCACAAGTCCTGTGCTAAACAATGCGTGGAGAGAATGCTTGGGACAGACAGAGTCTTGTTGGTATTATTTAGGGCTGAGATTCTGACACAGGGATGGTTCGTCTTTTAGAATACTCATTTCCAAGCATCAAGGTTACAATTCAGTACCTCCAAGGATATCCCAGGGCAGTTATGCTAAAAATGATAAATAAATGAACAAACAAAATTTACCAGAGCTTCTGAGCCCCATTAAGAACCACTGGTCGACTTGGTTAAATGAAAACTATGTACTGATTTGTTTATTACAAAGGGGCAAGCCTGTGCTTCAGGGAATATGGAAAGATTTTATTTTAGTTTTCACTGTGGAGGACTTCATATAATGTCATTTTATTCCCAGAATATTTACTGATGGAGGCATTGCTACTGCTACTTCTGAATTTGCCGCTTCATCCATATGGGAGAATTTGCAAACATCTTGATTCTACCGATAACTGTCCATTTATAGAAATGTAATATGATTTCCAGTAGAAATATTATTAGTTGTGCTGAGTTAGCACAACTCATTCCCTAGGTTACTTCCAGTAGATCCCTAACCAAGGATCTCTACTGCAAAAGAAAATGGGGCTGCCCCTAAGTGACTATAACTGCTCATTAAGGACCTTCCCGTTGCGTTAGTATGTTTCCTGAGTGGTGGGAAGTTTCAGCCTGGAAGCTGCTAATCTTGCTAACACTAAAAGGCTCTCTCCCATTAGCAGCTTCTGTGTTGCATTAATAATAAGAAAGTAATAAAGAGACGGCAGCTGTTCAGTCTCTCCTGAGGAGAGGCCGCAGCTTCCTTCTTCTCCCCATGGTCCACTCTAATGGTCTTGCCTGTTTGAAAGTAATAGAGTGGATAATAAGTGCTGTCTATTCTATCAAAGTCTAAAATTCTTCTTTCTGGGGAAGAATACCTTTTCTTAAGACTTCCAAATGTAAACTATACCATCCATATTTTGCAATTGAAGTTGATCTGTTTAATTCGTAACTTTTTTGACATGTAATTGCAAACCATCAGGTACGGGGGTGGGTAAGTTGCTTTAGAAAAAATAAATATTTCTACCTTTCCTGGAAAAACTATAAAACACAGAACTTCCTTAGATGGCTTCCTGTCTTTTTTTTGGGGGGGTGTAAATTAAATCCCTTACCTGCACAGAAGTAAATTAAAGAAAATCAAGGAATTAAGACCTCTGCTTTTATAAATATTAAAAACTCTCTTGCTAATAGACAAAGAAGAAATGAGGAAAATATCACATTAAAACAAAGTAAGTCAGACTGGATTTGTTAGTTTCAGGGTGCATGTTAATATATGTGTCTTTGTTAAAGATGTTATCTTATTAGGTCTCATAAAGAAAATTGGAGCCAATGCCATACTTAATAGCTTATGTTCTTTTTCTATTGAAAATATCTAACCTTTGGCAGAAGTACACTTTTTTATTTTTATTTTTTTTAGAAGTACACTTTTTTAAAGATTCTCTTGATTTAACATCCGTTTTTAAGTATACTGTCTGTCCATAGAATAAAATTATCTATATAGTAGTTGTGTTGTTGCAATTGTTCATCTATAACCAAAACTATTTTTGCTTTCAACTACGTATTTTTGAATTGGGTAAATAGTAATCCATCATCTCAAAAGTGCTGCTCAAATTTTTATTCCTTGGAGTCAAAATATTTGAGTCCAACTTACACTATTGTGTCCTGATTTTGAAAGGTTACTTTTATAATTAAGTTATATATTGCATATTTCTGTACTTGTAATTTATAGGAGAAAAAAAGATTAATATCAGTAATCATCATCAGTGAGAATATATATTTTTAAAATGAAATATATAGTTCATAACCCTCCTAGAGGAAATCACTATGACAGGCTCTGTGCAATATTTATATAAAATTCAAGAAATTACCATATAAACCAACTGAAAGCAGTTTTCTAAAAACATATAATCAATATATTTTCCTTCTAAGTATGTAACATCTTGAGAAAAAAAAACATATCTATGTCAAGAATGCCCATCTAAATATTTTTAATTATGTATAAAAGCCTTTAAATGAAAAAAAAATCTATAATTTAGGAAAGTGAAAATGCTAAGTATTCTTTATAAAATAAACACTAGATATTTCCTCCAGGCAAGTAACAATCTAAATCCCTTTTAATTAATAACTCTTTCATATGGTCAACTTATTAGCCAAGTTTTTTGATAAATCCAGTAAACCCTCTTGTTTGTTGTTTCCTTTTGCTTGTAAAAAGTGAAACGTTTACTACATATCAATGGGTGGCATATTATTGCTAGTGTTTTCCTTAAATTTAGGGAAGAAAGGAAGTGAGTAAGACATTCCTTGAAGCCCCAAAAAGCAAACAGGTCTATTGAAAAAGTAACAGCTTTGATATAGAATAGTCTTAGAGTGTTGGTATTAAGCATATTTATCTGAATTCTTTTTGTTTACTTTCTTCTGTTGTCTAGTTCATGAAGGCTCAGGAGAAACCAGTCAAAAGGAGACTTCAACCTGTGATATTTGCCAGTTCGGTGCAGAATGTGATGAAGATGCTGAGGATGTCTGGTAACGTGTTCTTTTTATTCTTTAAACAAATTATAACAATAATTAATTTCTTTTTACTCCATCAACCATTTCCTAAAAGACATTTTCAGCATTTTTTCTTACCCAGTTCTGAAGGGGGGAAAATGAGGGCTATAATAACAGCAAGGAATTTCTGAAGCTGAATTAAGAGCTGAACTAGCCAGGCAGCTGTTAAGAGCACTACTTGATAAGATATATTTAAAATACCACTTAGACCCCCAAACAGTGTCAATGTTAAGAGATGGAAAGAAAAATCATATTTATCAGAACATCCCTCAAGAACCATGGTCAATCAACAACGGATAGTTGCTAATCTGCTTTCTAAGATGGTGGATCTGGGTAACTGCAGAGAATTTATTTAAGGGTATATGCATATGCACACCCATAGCTGAATTGGGAAAGCAGTAAAGCAAAGAATGACTTCTGGGCTACTCTCTAGGATCAACTTCTCCCTCCACCTGAGTAATACTCAGCTTCTTCTGAAAAGATAGGCTAAACAAATAATGAATAACATTCATTATTTTGCATGAGTCCCAAAATGTTAGTCTTCTAGGGCCTCCACATGTACTGGTCCTGCCCTAATCATACCCAAAGGGAGCAACCCAAAATTCAGAGTGAGGTCTTTGTGGCATGATAGTGGAAAGAGGCAGAGTTCTCCCTGGTTTACACACCTCACTTTTACACAGATATCTTTCAGAAAAACAGCCAAGTGACCTTTGTTTTCTTCATTATCCAGACTATGTTTGTCTAGAGGAGTTTATGATCATTTTGATCAAGTTGACTAAGAGATTAAATCTTCTCACCACAAAAAAAGAAATAGTAATTATGTGACATGGGGTGTTAGTTAACACTATGGTGGTAGTCATATTGCAATATATAAGCATATCAAATCAACACGATGTACACCTCAAATTTATACAATGTTGTATGTCAATTATATCTCAATAGAGTTGGAGGAAAAAAACAATAATTTTGATCAAACTTTTGTGGGTGGAGGGAGCAATTCATCTAAGGGACAAAAAGAAAAAACTAAAGGCAAGATAATTTTGGCAAGAGTGAAACAGTCTGCACTTAAAATATTTTAAGGATTTTTAGGATTCCAAGGGAGCAACTGGAGTTCTTAGGGTAAATTAATCAGGTACTTGTAGGTAAACACTATACCCCAGTGAAATAGACACCCATTAATAAAGGCAAACATCAGTAGAGTTTTTGTACCTGTCAAACATTTCTCACCAATGGGTAGCTAGCAGCCAGTGGGAGTTTATGTACTGATTTGACTGTCCTGAGGTAAATAAATGCATATTTTCTTAAGAACATCTTGAGCATCTTAATGGCTAATGAATATATGGTTCCCAAACCTAGCTGACCATCAGAATTACTTTGGAAATTTTTTAAGCACACTAATTCTTTAGTTCCACCCCAAAATTAATGAATCAGAATTTCAGAGAAGTAGGACTTAAAATTTTACTTATCTAAAACTTCCCAAATGACTATGAAACACTTCTCTAAGATAAATGACTGACTCAGAGAATCTTTGCTCCCTAAATGCTTTACAGCTCTATATACTCATAGTCATTATATATTAAGACACACAGACAGGAAATGTATCCTTTAAATATCCCATTTTTAATGTTTGCTGGTGACCACATCTGTAGTTCAACATCATTTTTAAAGCTGTTAATTATCTTGCTGTCAATTATTTTACTTTTAAAAAAATTCACATGGGTTCCTAATTTTTTCTTAAGAATTTCCATTCCCCTAAGTTCTCATCTCTTCAGTGATCATCTTTAGGTAACAAAGTTCACTTTGCAAATGCAAAGATTTAAGAAATGTGATAAATAGCAGCTAAAAACTACTAGTTGCTTACTATGGGTTTTGGTCCATCTGTATAGTTTTTCAATTCTCAGTTACCTTCAAAATAACCCTAGGGGTAGATTCTACCATTATTTCACTTTGCAAAGAGGAAACTGAGTTTTGAGGTGTTTAAGTGGTAGGGCCACAGTGAAAATATGAGATGTTAGCATTAATAATTCAACCAAAGATGCAAATTAAAATCATATTTCTTTCCTGCCATGTCTGGAATAATAAGATAGCCAGATTGCAGGCAGCTTAGATGTAGTGACTCAAGACCTGCAGGGTTAGAGCTGGTGACAAGGAAGATGCCTACAGCAGGCAATGAGAAAATGTCCAGGTAGGTACAGTGTCACTCCTGGTATTCTAGCAAAAGTTCAGATCTATGGTCTGAGGGCAGGTAGAATGAGAAGATATGGACAAGGGTGGTGGCATCAGAAAGATTCAACAGTAAGTCATAGGTCCCAGTCTTCAGAAAAAGAAACTCAATTACAAAGGGAACAAGGCGAAGGGCAAAGCAGAACTTCAATTGCCAAGGAACTGGTTATCAATCAGGAAAACAGAGGCAGATACGGGCAAGACTGGATAGATACCCATTTGCCAGAACTGGTATAGAAAGCCAAGCCTTGGTTGCAAGGGGCTGAGACAAGCATCTAGATCTCAGAAATAAATTACAAGGTCAGAATGAAACCAGCAGCAAGGCTGACTGGATGCTGAATCAGTTAGCTTTTGGCTAGGACATCTTGTACGCCCCCAGCCTAGAGACAAGATTAGTTCCAAAATGCGGAATAAAGCTGAACCTCCAGATGGGGCTAAGTGGCTATAGCTGTGAAGATTAGAGGGATGCAGGGGGCAGGGAGCCAAGAAGATCATTATACTTCCCAGGCAAGAATGAAAAGTTGTTAACATTTAAATAAAATGTACTTAAAATGTCCAATGTAAGCAAGAAGGAATGGTGCTGAAAATGGTAAGTGTATTGATTTTCATTTACATAAATACCTTTGTATGTTAACATATTGTATTTAGTTATGACCATGAAGGGCAGATTGGAACAGCTGAAGGACACAAGAATAAAGCAGTAAATGAAATTAAATAGGCATGGAATGAAAGAGGCTATAAAGTACGAAGGGAAGCAGTTGGGGAGTGATCTGACTCTAGTACTAGTCAACTGAAGCAGAGGAGCTTTGACGTGCTGTTGATTTTGGATGAAACCATGACCAGGTCCTCTCCCAAACATAAAACACTGCGTATGCTGTGTGGCAACAAAGAGTACAACTCAGTTTTCAATTTTATTTTTTCCTTTGATACTAACTAAACTATAATTTTATGCATACAAATAGCCTCAATCCTGCATTATGAAGCAACAAGATATGAAATACTACTATTATGTTGTTATTGTATCTGCAATACCAAAACAAAGATGAAAAATTAATTCCTGATCTTTCTTTAACCCTGACCAAAGAAATTAATATTTTACATTTCACCGCAAAAAAAATAAGTCTAATTATTCAAAAACGCTTAGGTACTTTCTGGATGAAGTTAAATCTTTGTCAGAATTAAAAAGCCAGTTTTGATCAATTACAACCAATCATAATCAGTTGATCTTCTTTTCATAGATGAGTTTTTGAGTTACACAAGTCACACTGGACATGGAGAAAGATGATAGATGATAGATAGATAGATAGATAGATAGATAGATAGATAGATAGATGATAGATGATAGATAGATGGTAGAGGGGTAAGGAAAATGGAGGAAAGGAGGAAAAAATAACAGTTAGAGGATGGCATTGATAAACCATGATCCTAAACACATTACATTTTAATACCTTTGAGAGAATAGATGGTTTATAAGCTCATATAAGCCCCTCACTTTATAGTCTCTGATTTCATTTCAAGGTTTTTCTCTTCCCTTTTTCTTCTTATGGAGAACATCAAGGTTGTAGAAATCAGAAGATGGTCAGGGTTACTCAATAGCAAAAAAACACCATTGCTCCAGAAGATTCTTCAGTTATATTTATTGACCTACGTGTAGGAAAGAATTAAGCTTCCAAAAGAGAGAATTAAAAGTCCACATGAGAAGTGGCTCACAACACAGATATATCCACTCTCATATGGAGGCATCCCTTTATTTAGGATGAGCTTCAAACAAACGGAACACCTGTGCAAAGAGATGTGAAAGCTTATTTATAGGGAAGGGGTTAAGAGGGGAAGGAAAGAAGGGCTTAAAAAATTGTGTCTCTTGATATCTAGACTGAAAAAATTCAAAACTAATATGTTTATACATCAAAGAGACTCAAATATATCCTGCCAAATATAATTTATAAAGAAAAAGAATGGTTTATAAATAAGTCAAACATAATAAAATTGACTCATTGCAAAGTAATAAAGCCCCATCTGATAGCACTGGGAATACCAACTTATGATTTCAACAAATACTTCTGATACTTGGTTAGTTTTAGAAACAGCTTATTATTCCCTCAATTATCGTACCTGATAAATTATTTCAGTAAGTCCAAAGTAGGTCAGTGGTAACTCTCTTTGCACTGGGAGCTACTCCTAAGAAGTAATTAGCCCAGAACTTTCTGTTGGTCCTGTCAGTCAGAAATAGTTCAGAGCCCCGGGGTTGATACTTGATTTAATGTAAGAAAAAAGCAAGCTGATAGTTAGGTCTGATCGTAGGAATGACTGGGTAAGAAATTGGCTGCATGCCTAACATTTCCAGGGTGTCAGGATAGATCAAGGAAGGAGCACAGGTGTAAAAGCAGATGTGGCTCATGACAAATGATATAAAGGGACAATTTAAATTATGTGTATTTGCTTCATATGTATGCTTGATAGCTCCTATTCCCATTTTAACTTTGCTTTTGTATCATTCTCTACATGCTACTCAGGCTCCATTAGCAAAATCATATTGGCTAAAATGCTATTAATTCCTCAGTAGTCATTCATTTTATCTTTGAAAGTATTAATCATGTTTTCCAGTTTCACTACGTCACATTCTTGAGTTTGACTGCAAGGGGAAGAAAAGAGAAAAGCAAAGTAGTTGCAGTAAAATGAGTTCAGAAAAACTGAATGAGCATCCATGTTTTTCTTTATTTCACTGACGTTCCATAACTGAGACAGGGTGTGGG